CCCCAAAACCCCAAAACCCCAAAACCCCAAAACCCCAGGTGCAAAATCCGAAATTGAAAGCTAAAAAGGGCAAAAATTACGTCAAGTGATCCTTTTGATTTCTCATTGAAAATCTCAGATTCCTTCAAAAATACAAATTTGCTTCAGTAAAGGCTCAAAAATTGAGAAAATTTTAATTAAACAACTCGGAACAATATCAGGATATTAATTTCTCAAAAACTTAACAAAAACACAAATTATTTGAGCCAGGGCTTAGGAAAGTCCGCCAGCGGAGCCTGCTTGGGCAGGCTCCTGCTTAGCTGCATTCCTTCTCTCAGAAATCAAATCATTAAGATTTGTCTGTAATGGTTCAAGAGATAAAGAAGGAGCCTGTCCCTGGTGCGAGAGTATAACTAGGATCAGATTTTGCTGAGCCTGCATGTACTCAATACTTTTCCTTATCCTTGCATTGTAGTCTTCCAATTTTTCAATTCTTTTAGAGCAGCAATCTATCTAAAGAGGAAAAATTTAGAGAGCAAAATTTTGAGAAACTTTGACGGTAAAAGTGTCCCAAAGGACGTCATAAGAGATCATTTAAGTGAGGTTACAAAGAATTTGAAGTTTTATGTAAGGTGAAGGTCTTAGAGCAGCATAACGAGTAAGGATAGGCAAGCCCAGGCTAAGGAAGACTAGATCTCCCAATGACTCAGCATAACTGAGCATGTCACAGAGTTTGAAAATACCCGTTCCTCTGCTGAATTTTGGAAGCATTAAGACTGTAAGTTATCTCACGTTATTCTCAGAACTAAATTTTTACTTACATTTTGCTGAATCCGAGTGTTTTCGGATACCATGATGTCATATTCTTCTTGTATGTGAGAGATTTGTTGCTTCTTCTTCAGTCTGCTCCTACAAGCACTCTCTCTGTTCTTCTTAAGTCTGATATCAGTACTTTCTGGGCAGTAGTCAGAGGAGCCTATTTTGAGTTAAACCTAAATTTATACCTTTCTGTGATGAAGATGGAGTATGACTTCCAACCTCAATATCTGTACTTTTCTTGGATTTCCTCAAAGAAGTTTTCCTAGTAGTCTTAGTTTTTCTTGTTGAAGAGGATTTGAGCATTACAAGTATGTTTTAACTTTATTATTACTCAATTTCATCACTGTTTAAAGGGGTTTTGGGGTTTTGGGGTTTTGGGGTTTTGTGG